CATCCAATTCGCGCAGTTCTGCTGCACTCCTACATACAAATGGCGGTAGATCATCTAGTTTTTCCATATACTTCCAACGTTTTATGCAATGTCTGTTCGCACTTGTAGCCTGAAACCAAAATTTTGTAATGTTTACCATTTTTCAGTTTCTGTAGTCTTTTTGTGACATCATGACTGAAGCGTTGGTGAAGTATATGGAAAAACTAGATGACCTACCGCCATTTGTATGTAGGAGTGCAGCAGAACTGCGCGAATTGGATGAAAAGGTAAAACTTCGTTCTGATTGTCATAGTTGTCAGCCTCATTCTAAAGTTTAGGTTGAAAAACTCGTACGTGAGATAGAACTTCGTGTCGTTGCTCAAGTAAAGAATTTGAAAAAGTTCACTAAAGAACAACGATTGAAATACTATAAGGAGACACAGGTAGAGCTTCTAATGACTGCCTTATGCTTACAAATAGCTTCTGCAGTGTGATGGTTACTCAAAAGCTGAGGGCATGATGGCGGGCGTTGTGCCAACGTCACTGGTGGGTGTGGCCAAACGCCATCTCGCAGCCCTCAAACCAGTGACACTGGCAACAACTGCCCGCCTCCAACAATCGTGCCCATTGCATTTTAAGTAGTCTACGTGTTCTGTTTAGGCCATGTACAAGGAGGTAGACAAGCTGGGTGAGAGAAAAGTGAAGCTTGCTCAAAAGATGTACGATACCGTTGATAACCACATTAAAGAGATGGACCAGCAAATTACAGAGTTTCACGAGGCACAGCGAAGAAAATACAAAGCCGAACATGGTGTAAATCCAGGTAAGGTAGCTTTTTATTTTTATAGAAGGTTCATGTGGACCGTTGTTGGATGTGCGCAGTCATAAAGCTGAGTGGTTTGGTCAGTTTTATAGAAAGAAATGAAAGTTCAGGTGACACCCGTTTTATACGCTGGCCAAAGAAACATTATTTCTTCCAAATATATACTCATTTTCAACAAATTTTGTTTCAGGACCTTCAAATTCAGCAGATCAAAGAAAACGGTCTAATATGTCAACAATAAGGGTTGACAAGAGGAAGAAGCCTATGGATGTGAAAACTTCCGAAAACGGTGAGATTCGAGTTATTGCAGTTGCAGGACACCTTGCTTTGCAAATTACCTTAGGGGGCGGGGCGGGGGAGCCGGCATTTTGCAGAATTGCCCCCCCCCCTCCTTCAAGGTGATCAGCGCCTTTTTCCCCTACTTATATTCATTTTCTTCTCATTCTATTCTCGTTTATTCTCCACTGACCGTGAACACGATTTCAGCGCCTTTTGTGGACCACTTCAAACAAGCACCTCTGACCTCCGTTGATATGCCAGTCGACCCGAATGAACCCACGTACTGCATCTGTCACCAGGTGTGTTTCTCTCATGTGTCCTGTTCAGTTTTTTCAGAGATAGGGAGGGTTTGTCTGGTGCTCTTCGTGATTTGGTCAACCTAATCGCACATTGAGAGTAAACGAATTAAGAACTGAGGGCGCACTCGTAGTTGTGGAGGGTTAGGGAAGCAAACAGCGCCCCTGTGTCTTCTCCCAGGCTTAAGCTTAGCAGAAACTCGGTCTCTGCGAGCCCATCTTTCGGCCACTCTGGTTGTCTGCGTTGAAAGCCGCAGCTTCGGTTAGATGAAGGGACACAGAGGCGTAAACGAATGCTACCTAACTTCCAAGCACGTAGAAGCTAAGATTTCATCATTTGTTCTCCATTATGTATTCACTGAATATCATTGTTTTCTACCTTAATATTTTGTGCTACTATAGGTATCGTTTGGGCAAATGGTCGCTTGTGATGGTCCGGATTGTAAAAATGAGTGGTTCCACTTCCAGTGCGTAGGTTTGACTTCGTCTCCCGTCGGTGAGTACTATTTCAACAGTATCAGAGCATTAATTGTGCTAAGGGCACGCCCGTCTTTTGATGGCTGGTCATGGAGTCCTGTCCGCAAACAGGATGATATACTACTTTCGCAGCTCAAAAATACGAGGGAAGCACGAAAATGCCAGCCGAGTCACTGGCCATTGCAGAGTCTAACTTCCATTTCTAAGGCTTGCTGTGCGCGGTTATTGCGCCGCTGACTCTTTCGAATGATAACAGTGAGGTGATAAGGAGACAAAAACTAATCCCATAGTGAGAACTCTTCCTTTGGCCTCAGGATATCGTGTCAACCGCGAAGCCCTACGCTTTCCTTTTTCCGTCCTC